TTAGCCAGATAGAAAGGAGAGGACTTACTTGAGTTTATGTGAGTGAGAACTGGAAAATTAGATTGAGAAAGATATTCGGGGTCCTTAATACAATGCTAACACAATTTAGGCTTGATTATTTGGGGACAGTGAAATCACCCTATATGTTTAAGCACAAGGAGTGAAAAATGAGGAGGAATTGTCATCATCTGACCTTTACGGATGAGCAAATGGATACTGAAGTGGTGACAACTTGCCTCAGTTGCTGCTAGAGCAGGAAACTGTGCAGGTGTTAGAGCAGAACTACTCAGGTTTAATGATTCAAAGTTCACGGCTTCACGCGACATCACACACTCCCTTTTGTTTTACTCAGTGAGTGGACAACAAGGGTTGTCCTGGAGTTACCCACCCAGCCAGCTTGTCCTCCTAATTCTACTTTTGTTTCCAAGGTGTTTTTCTTCTGTGAGAGAGATAAAGACAGAGAGATAGCACCCCTGGTGGGATCTACCCCAAGTCACGGCTGGCCTGGGTCATGGGCATAGGCTCATGCCAGCTTACTTAGGGAGGTCCTGGAATGTACATCCAGGATCTTCCCTATGGCTTCAGCTACTTGACCCCTGTACCACCAGCCTACCCACCCCCCCATACTTCTTGTGCTCTCCCTTCTTCTTCTGTCCATAGAATAATAGTTACATGAGAGTAGAATTTTGTCTGTTTTGTTCTTAGTGCCAAGAATAGTGCTTAATATATAAACTATGTAATTGACTCAGTCTTAAATATATATTTTATTTTATTAAAAATACTCTAGCGAATGATATATTATCTTGGTTTATGTCAACAATTATACATTGACTGTATTATCATTTCCAACAAGCAGATTAAAAAGATATATGTGAAGCAATAGAGTGATTTTTTTGAGGTTTTTGCTATAGGGTGTGTGTGCTCGTCAGAAACAGACAGACAGCGAGACAGAAAGCGAGAAATCACCCCCCAGGGTGGATGGCCACACTGCGATCCCTTCTCCTCTATTCTCCTCTCAGGATTTTGGGCACATAGGCATACATGCTTGGTTAAGTCACTGGGTCCAGGACTCAAACCATGGTAGACTGCATAGAGTTCAGCAACATAGCCACTACGCCAACTGCTGGTCCTGCAGTAGAATGATTTTGACAAATTCAGACAATTGCAAGTTATTTTTCATAATTTATTTATGTACTGAGAAAGAGAGGGGTGCCGTTGAGAGAGTCTCACAGTACTGCAATCCTTCCAGCCAGCCAGGACCATGAGCGTTCCGAAGGCACTCCAGTGTGTTCAGGTGAATCCAGGACCAGACCCCGGGCTGTTGGTAGCTTCAGTAGTGCGCAGTAGCACTCCATAGTTGTATTACCACATTTGGGCCCAAATTCCAAATCAATGAATGAAAGTAAACCTTGATTAAGGCCTTTAAGATATTCCAGAAAAAGTCATCTTTAGCAAATAAAGTTTTCTCAGATGATAATTTCAAGAGAAAAGTCTCTTCCATGTGGAAGTTTGGCTTCCCAGATTTCGGACTTGTTGCAAGTCTACGTTAAGAAACTCTGAGCCATGTTGCTGAGTAGACGTGGGTTTATATCTAAGATCTGTCACTTAGCAATTCTGTGAACTAATTATCTGAGGTTTCTTAGTTTCCTTACCTATAATGTTGAGAGGCAAGTCTATGTTAAGAAGCTCTGAGCCATGTTGCTGAGTAGACATGGGTTTATATCTAGGTCTGTCACTTAGCAATTCTGTGAACTAATTATCTGAGGTTTCTTAGTTTCCTTACCTATAATGTTGAGAGAGTAACCACAGTCTCACAGGAGGATTGTGTGAAGGAAATGAAATAACCTACATTTAATGCTTGTCCCTGTTCTTTATCGTTGGCCATTTGAACACAATGATGATGACAATGATGATGATTATGAAGATATAAAGAATGAAAAGAAGGGGACCAGCAGTTAGTGTAATGACTGTGTCGCTGGACTCCCACGTGGTCAACCGCGGTTCGCATCCTGGACCCGGTGGCTTAAAACTCACACCGGGCGCGTGTGCGTGCATGCCCAAGATCCCAAGAGGAGAATGGAGGAGAAGGGATTGTGGCGTGACCATCCCCCCTGGGGGGTGATTTCTCGCTTTCTGTCTCTATGTCTCTCTCTGTCTGTCTGGCGAGCGCACGCGCCCTATAGCGAAAACCTCTCCAAAAAACAAAAAACAAAAAACAAAAAAAGAATGAAAAGAATAATATCATATGTTGCATCCTCACTATGACCAATGTTAAGGGCATTGTACTGAGACCATACACTAATGGTAGATATTATTATTATTATCCCCATTTGAAAGATGAGAGATTCCAGGATGAGAAACATTCTAGTGAGTAATAAGTGTCATAACAAGGCTGTAGTTTAGGTCTCCCTAGAGAACGACTGAGTCAAAAAGCTGAAAGTAAATCACAGAATTATTCTTTCTATTCAAACTTTCTTAAAATTGTTTTAAGGCATTCAAACAAAGCCTTGAACATCAAAGAGACATACATGAAAGCTTAGAAGATAATATCCAAACCATTAATTTTCCTGCTGGAGTATGCCCCTGCAAATGTGTGTGAGGAAATCTTGACCAACTACAATATGGTAATTGTTTCTATTTTAAAATATTGTGGGAGAAGCCAGTGGTTTAGCAAGATAGATGATCGTGAAAACCAATACTGCACTGCACGCCCGTGAAAATGTATGATGGATTAAGTTATAAATACATTCACAATAAAAGCAGTGCATTAAAAGTATAAGGTTCAGAAAGTCCTGCATCCTGTGTGACTGACCCCATCTGCAGGTTAATTTCCTGACATTCCCACTGAGAACGGCAGGCTATTGTGTCTGAACATAATCTGTTTCCTTGTGGTTTTGAAGTGTATCTCAGTAGAATGTTTGGGTCACACATTTTTTTTTTTCTTGCTTGCTTGGTTAACAGGCTCCTCACCTTCACTCTTAATACCCAATGAGCTTTTCCATATTGTAGGTGAGCTAGAAAAATGCAGAAAGTACTTCTTATCAAAGGCTTTTTAGTACTTTAGGCTCCTGACCAAGAATCCACAAAAGACTTAGTTTGCTCACTCAGCAGGTAAAATGTTCACTTTAATGAAAAGAAGCAAAGTAGGTTACAAGGAATAGTGAATGCAAAAACTCTTAGAAACTGAATTAGAGATTAATATAGATGATTGATTTCAAATCATCCTAAAAGATGAACAGCTGTGAATAGTCAACTGAAATGTCTTAAAAAGTTAAATTATTCTGGCAAGGGATAACTGACATTTAGAAAGTGCTTCATTTTCTTATTTTGGAGAAGGCATCCATCTTAGTCTGGATCTTCTGAAAGCAGAGACTCCACAAAGATGTAGGAGAGACAGTTTTTATTGCTGTTCTTTGGTTTATTTAGCCTCCACAAAGTTGTGGGAGAGGCAGTTTTTATTGCTGTTCTTTGGTTTATTTATTTAAAATAAGATCTTAGGGAGCAGGTGTAAGGAAAAGGCAGAGTGAACAGGAAAAGGGGAACTCACATGCAAAACATGCTTTATCTTCTGGCAACCACTGTGGTCAACTTGTAACCCATCCCTTGGGACTTTTGCAGACCTTTATAAATGTTGCTAAGACATGGACCTGCTGGGACGAAGGGAATGTTCACCTTTTCCTAAATGTTCTAAAATGTGCTCATTCTGGAAACCTTACTTTTGCCAAGTGAATTGGAACCATCCAGTTCATATGTATTTATGTAAATGAAAAGCTTGAGATAATATATTTTTATCTGGGCACTTATGGTTAAATGCAAACTTTTAATTATTTTATAACAAGGCATTTAAAAATGTAAAATGCCAATAAAAATAGTGCTTTCCCTTTTATTTGTACCTCAGCTATAACTATAAACATTTATTTTATTTATATCTTAGATATAATTATAGATTTCTGTCCCAATAACACAACTTTTATTTGAAGAATTGAAGTTATAATTCATAACTTTTCTTACTTTTTATAAAAGAATGTGTTTACTTAATTTTCCTTATTATTTTTAAATTTTGCTATAGTACATTTGTTACTTTTGCTATAGGATGTGTTCCTGTCAAACTGCTTGATCAACGACTCATAGCAAGTTTGACACCATGTAAATAGAAGTGAGGTAGGAAACTAATTATAAAACTTATCATGGCAAATACTTCCAAAAAGAAATGACTTTTATATTTTGGGGGTAAATCTTAGCAGAGATTTTTTTTTCTTGATCTTCTTTGGTCACTTTAAAACTATTTCAGCCAATGAGATGAGATGTGCCTCAATATATTTTAAGACTGATATTTCATAATATTTCCCCTTCTTTTAGTCTTTTTTTAAAACTTTATTTATCCATTTACTCATTTATTTTAATTTGACCAGAGAGGAACAGAGTGAGAGAGACAGAGAAGAGAAAGTGAGAAAGTAAGCCACCAGGCCCAGTACTTGAACCACGGTTGGCCATGTGAAACTTCAGCACCCTTAACACCCTCTGCCGGCCCCAGTTACCCGTTTTTCAGTCTTAAAGAAGGCTCAGTTAACACCAAAGGTAACGGTCGGTTGAAAAGAATTTTTTCTAACTGAAGAGGCTGACTCATGGCAAAGTATTACTCATCCTGACCATTTGCAGATTCGGTACTGGGCCGCCCATGACAAAGAAGCAGCTGCACACAGAGTTCAAGTCACCAGCCAAGAGTATTCGGCCAGGCTGGAGAACCTCCTGCCCGACACCCAGTACTTTGTGGAAGTTGGGGCCTGCAACAGTGCAGGGTGTGGACCTCCAAGCGATGTGATTGAGACCTTCACCAAGAAAGCACGTGAGTCTCTCATTTTGAGTTGAGACTTGTCTAAACCTACTGTTTGATTTCATCATGATGTAGTGACATTTGACAGAAATTTCCTATCTTACTGAGTATATTTCATTTTCTATGATATCCTTTATAGTCACATGAAATTTTTAAAAAATATTTTTAGGTTAAACCAATGACATAGATAATGAAAACATATGAAGAATTATTTCATGCATTTAATGTCCCGTTGTAGAACTAAAATTAGAGAAGGACCTTGGTAAAGATTCCTCACTCAAACTTTGTGCCATTAAAGCAACTTGTCTTCATTCTGTGTTTATTAATTAAAATGTTGTTTTCATAAGGATGCATTAACAGCATGGAAAAATTAAAACTCTGCTTATTTTTCTATGCTTTAATATATGAACATTATCGCATAATGCAAATGCAAGTTAATTATAGAATTATGTTTCTATTACTGGAAATTCTCTTTGTTCATATAAAAAGACCACCTATTCTGCTCAAGTTTTCTAGTCATTCTCCGGGTTAAATTTGTTATTTCTGTTCTTGAACTTAGTGAAAAAGAAAAATTAGTATGTAAAACTCTAGGGATTCTTGCGATAGTCTGACGACATGATTGCCATTAGGGTTTACAAATTTATGAAATTCACTTGGGGATAAAGAATCTCTTAGTGAAATGAGAGAACATAGTGGAGTGGTTAACGAGCGCACTTAGGTGTCAGACATGGGCTGATGATCTGTCTCTGCCACCTACTAAATGTGAGACATGGACAGATTACTGTAGCTCTTTAAATTTCAATTTTCTAATCTGCAAAAGAAGTGTTCATGCCTTTTATTTTCATTTATTTATTTATTCATCAAAAATATTCTTGCCATGGGCTCAGGATTATCCCAGGTAGGGAGAATGGTTATATCAAGTGACAGGGCAGTAATAAAAATGGATAAAATTGAAAATGACTTGGGGGTGTTGAATCCCAACAGGGTGTTCAGGAAACTCTTTCATGAGAAGATGCCATGCAGGTTAGAAACGAGTGAGAAATGATAAGAACCCACTATACAAGGAGCTGGGGGAAGATTGTTCCAGGTAGAAGTAATAACTAGTGCGAACCTTAGGTAAAATGTTTTAGGTGGAGAAAAGCCAGTTGGGTCTGGAAAGAAGTTCTGATGTGAGGGAGAAGTATGCTGGGACCAAAATATGGAGGCCTGGGATGAGCAGTTAGCATAATGGCTATGTCACTGGACTCCCACGTAGTCGACCGTGGTTCGCGTCCTGGACCCGGTGGCTTAAAACACGCCAGGCGCGTGTGTGTGCGTGCCCAAGATCCTGAGAGGAGAATGGACGAGAAGGGATTGCGGCGTGGCCATTCCCCCGGGGTGTGTGGGGGGGTGACTTCTCGCTTTCTGTCTCTCTGTCTCTCTCTGTCTGGCAAGTGCACGCGCACTATGGCAAAAACCTCTCCACAAAAAAACAAACAAACAAAAATATGGAGGCCCTTGCAAGTCATGTGATGATTTCAGTTCTTTCCAAGCAAGATAAGAAGCCATTAGAAGTTTTTTTTTTTAAAAGCTCATTTTAAAAAGTTTATTTCTTTCTTTCATAAGAAAGAGAGAGGAAGAAAGTGACAGAGAAAAGAGAGGAACCTCAGCGAGGCCTTCATGCCCAGTCCACCCCAGTCTCAGCCAGTTAGATCCTGAGCACACAGGCATGCAGCATGAGCCCAGAATGCTCAGAGACTCACTAGGACTTGAACTCCAGATCTCTCCCATGTGGGCCTAGCAGCGTTTCTGCTGTGCTACTGCCTGGTGTTACCACTGGAAGATTTTAAGGCATAGAGCAAAATCTAACTTACATTTGTTGTTGTTATTGTTGCTTTATGTTTTGGGTTTTTTTTTTTTTAAGTCATCCTGGCTTCTGGATAGAAAACAGGTAGTGGTAGGTTAGGAGTGCGAGGAAAAAAGCCAATTCTGAGGCTATTTTATTCTAGTTGAGAAGAGATTTGGTGGTGGCCAGCACTAAGTGGACAGAGAAAGAGAGCAGCAGAAAATGTTCTGCAGATAGAGATGATCGCTTGCTGCTAATTTGAATGTTAGTGACAAGGGGACTAGAAGCTGGAATATAAGATTTCTGCCTAGAAACTAAGGGTTTATTATGCCTATTTCTAAAGATGAGGAAGACTCTATGAAAGGCAGATTAGAGGGTACATTGCAAATACTCTGTCTTACCTATGTTATATTTGAGCCGTCTCACAGACATTTACGTAGAGAGAGGCCATCAGACATACACGTCTAGAGGTCAAGAGAGAAAGATAACAGCCAGAGCTAGAATTATGCATCAAGTCTCAGGCCCACAGGTCGGTACTTAGCAAAAGTCCGAAGTCGCTGCAGCACTGAGAAGTGGAGCAGAGGACAGAGAGCCAAGGAAGGGTGATTCATGAGAAGGAGCAGCCAGTGAGGTAACAGAAAACCCCACATGTAAGACAGCATGGGTTTCAAAAAAGGACAAGAGATTCGAGAAGAAGTTCCACTCTTTGGAATGCTCCAAAGATGCGAAGTTGGAAAAGGTGGCCAAGTGGAGGTGATTGGTGAGCCTGAACATGGCAGTTTCAAAACACTGTGGAGAAAGCAACCTAAGTGGAGGATGAGAGAAGAGAATAAAGGATAGGTATATTACTACCACACAGGGCCACTGGGTGCATTAAATGAACTCATGGATGTAACGTGCTTAGCGTGGTGTCTGGCATGCAGTAAGCACTTCTCAGACTAACTGTCGTCGTCAGCACGGTCACCATCAGCGTTAGAATTCCTGACGCATGAAGACCGCAGAACCGAGATTGGATGTGGGGACAACTGATTGCTTGTTACTGCCTCTCACAGCTCCCAGCCAGCCTCCCAGGATCATCAGTTCAATAAGGTCTGGTTCCCGCTACATCATCACCTGGGATCACGTCGTTGCACTATCCAACGAATCGACAGTAACAGGATATAAGGTACGGAAACCATGACTACATTATTCTCCACACAGGCGTCCTTCTTGCAAAGAGTGATTGATGTTGGCAATTTTTACTCTCTCGGTAAAAGCCATTCAGCATTCTTGTCCAAGCCACATAGCAGAATCAGATGACATAGTACTTACGGTTATAAATTGTGAAGCCAGAGAATATCTTCGGTGAGTTTTAGGAAAATGCTATGTCAAGTAAGATAAATGGAATAATTGCTTTGAAAATGAGAATTGTTAGAATGGTCAGTGCTTAAAGAGGGAGGAAAAAAAATTCACTGTGATTGTATTAGTGTTGCCCAAAATACAGTGAACCCTTGGACATATTCAGTTATGTCTATAAGTGAATATAAAAGGGAAATATTATTTCCATGTGTTATGTACTTCCCATTCTATCACATTTGGTATTGGATTCCAAATTTTAAGAATAATGTAATAAATAAAATTGGAAGGGAATATTTTTATGCTATTTTATATATATATATATATATATATATATATATATACACACACTTGCTATACTGTACATGTGCTCACTGGAGACAGAGAGAGGGTAAGAGGGAGTGAAACAGAGAAAACACCTCCCCCAAAAGGGGATGACCACACCATAATCCCTTTTCCTCCATTCTCTTCCTGAGATATTGGGTATCTACACACACACGCACACACCCCTTGTGTGTTTTCTCAAACGACCTGGGTCTGAGACTCAACCATGCAGTAGGCCATGTGGGATTCAGCTGCTTTAACCAAAAAACTGCTGGATGGGCTTAGAGTTCTTCATTTTTTATACATTTTTTTTAATTTGCCAGAGAGTGTGTGTGCTCACTGAAAAGAGACACAGAGAGAAGGAAAGTGAAAAAAATATAAATCCACCCCTCACATGGGGCTTGCTCACACTGCACTTCATTCTCCTTAACCTCTTCTTTCTTTGGGGATTTTGGAAGCACACACTCATTTGCCCAATGTGTTTTTCATGCCATCAGATCTGGAACCTGAGCTGTGCTGTCAGCCATGTGGGATCCAACCACCTTAACCATGAACTAACTATATGTTTTTCTTTAAAAGATACATTCTGGGGCCAGCAAGTGATGTGGTGTTAAGATGCTGGACTTCCACATAGCCAACTGCAGTTCGAGACCCAGACCTGGCAGCTTGTTTTCTCTCTTTTCCTCTCTCTCTCTCTCCAAATTTTAAAATAATAATAATAATTTAATTTCTCTGTTGTGTGCACATGTCCCATAGCAAATTAAAAAGAAATAATAATTATAATAAATAATTCTTTAAAAAGATACATACCTCCATCTCTTTATTTTGAGTCATCCCAAGAAATAAAATCCAAACATATCCTCTTGGATAACTTAAAAAAACTAATAGAAATCAATTTCTGTAAGTTGAAAAGAACATGATATTTTTTTCCACCAATTTTAAATGCATCGATTTTTTACTAATAAAAATGTAAGTGTTTTTATTCTGGTCTTGATAAAGGGCATTGGTCATTATCAGGACTTCATTAAGTATTTACATTTGGACTTTTCAGGTACTCTATAGACCTGATGGTCAGCACGATGGCAAGCTGTTTTCCACTCACAAACACTCCATAGAAGTCCCAATCCCCAGAGATGGCGAGTACGTCGTAGAGGTTCGTGCACACAGTGACGGAGGCGATGGAGTGGTGTCTCAAGTCAAAATTTCAGGTAAGCCAGTCACCAAAGACACATTTCAACTGCCTACTAGTTTCTAGGCCCTACAGATTCCCAAGGGTAAAGGTCGGACTGTTATTCACACCAATACTTTTTCCTAGGTAGACTTGAAATATCAAGGATGCCCTGAATCTTGGTATTTCTTCCATGACGAGTCATGAGGGTAAACGTTCATGCTTGTCGCTCATTGTCTGGATGTCAAAACCCGATTAAAACTTTCAGTGGTTAGATGAACACGTTCTTGGCTCTATTGTACGGCTAGGGTGGCCATGGTGGTTTTCACTCATTTGAATGTGGTCATCGCACAATGTACACAAATATTAAATCATCACGCCATATGCTTTGAATATATTCAATCTTTGTCAACTAAATATCTTACATTTAAAAGCTACAATTAAAATACCATAATGCATTAAATACAGTACATAATACTACACCATTATTTAATTATAGCTGAGTTCTCTGGTATCATAAGAACATTCACTGGTTTTAAGGTTTTTACCATAGAGAGTGTGCACTTACCAGAGAAAAAGACAATAGTGAGAAGGAAAGTGAGAAATTACCCCACACCCCAGGCAGGTGGCCAAACCACAATGCCTTCTCCTCCATTCTTTTTCTGGGAGTGGGTGGCCAAACCTTAATGCCTTCTCCTCCATTCTTTTTCTGGGAGTTTAGGCACACATACATGCACGTGGCCTGACATAATTTTCAAGCTGCTGGACCTGGATTTGAACTATTGTCAGTCGTGTGGGCATCCAGCACTATAACTACTACACCATGTGCTGGCCTCAACCAGACTATTTTTAATATTCTTTTATTCCCCTTTTATTTGTGATATGCATTTTAATACAGTAATAAAACAGAAAGACAGCAAATTATAATTCCTTTACTTTGTGCCTCCCTCTTTTCTTAACCCATTTGTTTCTTTTCTGTGAGTTCTATTTTCTCTAAGTATAGTAGCACTGGTTAATTAGAAATATACATTTTTGAGTATTAATTTCTTCTCTTATTTGGATTTGTAGCATATTATTTGGGGAAGATGGGATACTTTTTTCTTACTCTGTATGCATGATATCGTCTAATTATACTGAATTAAAATGAATGTCAACTTGAGAATTTTATGGAAGACTATGAAATATAAGAAGATACTATGTAAAAGGTGGGAATAATTGATTTAGGAGAAAATTTGATGATTTGTAGCTAAATAAATGAATATGTAATGGGTTAATCAAAACAAATTCCTTTAACACAATGCCAGAGTACTTGATAAATACTAACTTCACCTAGATGCCATATTTTCATGTAATTTATAACATATGTGCAACAGGACTTCATAAAGTTAATGGAAATGTAAAATTATAGCACCAGTTTATTTTGATGGAAAGTATTTGAAATCCATCCAGTTTTTTCTTAACAAACATTTTAATGAACTTTTTTCTTTTTCTTTTTTTGGAGATGTTTTTGCTATAGGGCACATGCACTCGCCAGACAGGCAGAGCGTGACAGAGAGACAGAAAGCGAGAAATCACCCCCCAGGGGTGATGGCCATGCCACAATCCCTTCTCCTCCATTCTTCTCTCAGGATCTTGGGCATGCATGCACACACGCCCGGCGTGGGTTTCAGACACCGGATCCGGGACTTGATCCGCGGTCGACTACGTGGGAGTCCAGTGACATAGCCATTACGCTAACTGCTGGTCCCATAGTTTAATGAACTTTTGAAGACACCTCATACATACTCTTTAAAATCAAAATGTAGTGAATAGTACTTTGAAAATTTTGTTTTTTTAAGTTAACCATTATTATTTTGTCTTTCTGAAAAATTTAAAAATTATAGAAATCTAGAAGGAAAAGAAAATAATCAGTCATATATCCCAACTACTCTAAAATAACTATTGTAAACATTCAGCTGAATTTTCATCTACATACTCTAAATACATATATAATTTCATATGTTTTAGATTCTAGTGAATATATTATATCATATCTTACTTTTATCAATTGTTAAGTGAATCACTGAAGATTTCATCAATTTTTTAATTTAAAATTAAACACGATATTCTTTCAAATAATTGTATAAAATTTACCTACTTCATAAAGTTTTTTCCTATCACAAATAATACATTTTTGTAAGTTAATCTTTCTGAAGATTAAACAATGAGACAAAGTGTTTCACTTTTTATATTGCCAAATTTCTTTAAAATATTCACCAGTTTATCTCTCTGTATTATTGTATATGAGTGTTTTTCCTCACTGTGCCTCTCCAAATTATTGTCTTATTTTTCAATTGATGTTGACTTGATAGGCGATAGCATCTCTTTTTTTTTTCAGTTTTTCAAAACATTTTATAAATTCCAAGCTTTGATAAAAAAAAAATACCTTTAACTCTTAGCAGCACCAGAGAAAATCAGAGGCAATTATAGCATTATTTCAATGGTGATAAAGTGCAAAAGTAAGTAAACTGCTCTTAACACCGATGCTCCCTACCTGGAAGCCAGTGCAGCAGGTTTTTGCTCTCCTAATTTCCTTATTCTTTTGTCATTCCTCATGTGAAGCAGAGCCTCATTTCTGATATTTAGACCATAAAATCTTATATCTAGAGATGCTACAGCAATGAGAGTGACTTTGGTATAATTATAACTAATTATGCATTGGTTAATGTTAAGCAACTGAGTTTTTAGGGTTAGAGGAAAGTCCTGGTTTATAGCGCTTGCCAATTTCTGTGGTGTAAACATTTGCTATGTCTGATTTCCAGCCTTCTACACAATGTTTCTAAATGTGGAGCTGGCAAGGGAAACTTAGTAGCACACCATTAAATAGTATTGTCACCTCACCAGATGTAATAGGCATACCCTCAAGAGCACTGATAATATTAAAATGTAGCAAAATAAATAGGACACATTTAATTTTGAATAGTTACTATTTTCACTTTAAATGTTTTGATTTAACTAATAAGTTTGCATAATGTTAATTTTTAATATGATGTTTTAAAACAACTTGCTCATAAATTCCGTGAAATTTAATAATTGGCTCTCTGGAGGTGTTATAAATTAATGTCAGCATGTCACATTTATAATCTATTGTTCCAATGTAAATAGCCCCTGTAAAAAATGATTCATAGACTGGATTGTTAAGTAAACCCCAAATATATTCAGAATCATTCCTCCTTTTTTAAGGCCAAAAAACAGAAATTTATTTATTTATTTATTTATTTATTTTTAGTTTGTTCTTTTTTTTTCTTTTGATCTAATTTTTTTATTTTAAATTTATTCATTCTCTACATTAATTCACTATACACCATCACAACACACAAATGAATTTTCCATCCAAAATACACTGTGCATGGGTTCAATCAAGCACATCAACATACATGTTCTCAGCAAATAATTTTCCAATTCTTATGTCCTGCATACCTTGCCTTTTGTTTTGCCATACTTGATTCCCCATCCCCCACCCTCTGCCATGTCCCATCCTCCTCCCACATTGTCCCTGGCATCCACGGTTGCCCTCCATGCCTTCCCCCCCCCATTCAATTGATCTGCCGATGAACTTAATTAGTCAAAATATATCCAATAGCTAGCACAGCTGACACATACCTATACATGAACCCAAGCCTGACTTTAGGCCTAAACCCCAGTGAGTAGAATGAACATACTATAAAGTAGTACCCAGCTGGGTTTTTTTTTTTATATAACCTAACATTCATTCCCTGAGCATCATCACAACATACTAAATGTGGTTTCCTCTCTAGGATAAACTGCATAGTGGCTTAATCAAGCATGTTATTATCAATAATATTCCATTTCTACTTTCATACATATGTATATGTATATATATGTTTTTTATCCTATGTTT